TGGCAGCCCCGCGTTCGTGGCCAGCCACTTGCACGACGTGCGCGCCCGCCACGATCTGCTCCTGGACCGGGTCCCAACGGTCCCCTGCTTGCAGTCGGCGTGGCTGCTCCTCCTCCTTTGCAGCCTCCCCCGCTGCAACTACCTGCTGCGCGCCCTGCCGCCGGCAGACACGGGCGCGTTTGCCGCGGGGCACGACGCCGCCGTGCTGCAGTGCCTCACTCGGCTGCTCGGGGCACCAGCGAGCGCCCTCTCCGCCCTGGCCCCAGGCCCTGTCTCCCAGGCCCAGCTCCCCCTGCATATGGGGGGGCTGGGGCTGCGCTCCGCCCTGGCGACGCGCAGCGCCGCGCACTGGGCCTCTTGGGCCGACTCGCTCCCCGTGATCGGCGCGCGGCACCCCCTCCTCCTCGCGCGGGTCCTCCCCGAGTTGGCCGCCGAGCTTGGGGCACCGGGCCTGCCCGGCACGCAAGCCGCCCGCCTGGCCGCGGCCGCGCTGCACACCCCTGGATGGGCGCCGCCATCATGGGTCGCGCTCGCGAGTGGCCTGGATTCCGGAGCCGGCGCTAGTTTCGGCGACCCCACCCGCGGTTGGCAGCGCGCCGCCACCGCCGCCTTGGACAGACAAGCCCTTGAGGTGCACTTCTCTGTGCTCGATCCTGCATCTCGGGCCCTGCTTCTGTCCCAAGGCGGCGCAGGCGGCGCGGCGGCCTTGACGGTGCTCCCGTCGCGACCTGAGTACCGTCTGCCAGCCGAGCAGTTCCGGGTGCTGCTTCTGCGCCGCTTACGTTTGCCGCTGCCGCCAACGCCGCGGCTCTGCCGCTGTGGCGGTGCCTTGGATCCACTCGGTGACCACCGCGCCGCTTGCCCCACCGCGGGGGTGCTCGTGCGCCGCGCGGCCGCCCTCGAGCGCGCCGCCGCCGCGATCTGTCGTGAGGCCGGTGCGCGTGTCGCCACCAATGTCTTCCTCCGGGACCTCAACATTGGCACACCCCTCACCGACGGGCGCCGCCTTGAGGTCGTCGCTAACGGCCTCCCCGGGCATCAGGGTGCGCAGGTCGCCGTCGACGTGACCCTGGTTTCGCCGGTCGCCAGGGATGGCACGGCCCGTGCCCGCTGCGCCGCCGAGCCTGGGGCCGCCGCAGCCGACGCCGCTGCGCGCAAGCGCCGCGAGACTTACCCCGAATTTGCTCAGGCTCCCCGCGCCCGGCTCGCCGTCCTCGCCCTTGAGACCGGCGGCCGGCGGGGTGACGACTGTGAGCACTTCCTCCGGGTCCTCGCGGCCGGTCGTGCGCAAGCGGCCCCACCGTGGCAGCGTCCCGGCCTTCGCGCCGCCCTGCACCATCGCTGGGGGAGCCTCCTCTCCCTGGCGGCGCAGGGCAGCCTGGCCACCACGCTGCTGGAACTTCCGGAGCAGGGGGGCGGCGCGCCGCCCGCCCCCGCCGTCCTGGCTGACCTCACGCAGGACGCGCGCTTGCTCCAGTGTACATAGTTCCCGGACCGGCTTCCCGTCTCACCTCGTCGCCGCTGCTCCGGATGCGAGAAAAAAAAAAGAGTGTCTCACAAGAGTGTCGCGACAGTGCCCCACAAGAGTGTCTCACAAGAGTGTCCCACAAGAGAGTCCTACAAGAGTCCCACAAGAGTCTCCTACAAGAGTGTCGTGTAAGGGTGACCCACAAGAGTGTCCCACAAGAGTGTCCTACAAGAGTGTGTCCCACAAGAGTGTCCTACAAGAGTGTCCCACAAGAGTGTGTCCCACAAGAGTGTCCTACAAGAGTGTCCCACAAGAGTGTCCCAAAAGAGTGTCCCACAAGAGTTTCCTACAAGAGTCCTACAAGAGTGTCCAACAAGAGTGTCCCGCAAGAGCGTCCCACAAGAGTTTCCTACAAGAGTGACCCAACGAGAGTGTCCTACGAG